TTCTCCTTCTCCTACTCCTCCTCAACCACCTTCTCTTACTCCTCCTCTTCCTCCTCTTCCTCCTACTCGTCCTACTCTTTCAAGATAGGTTCTTGCTGGATGAAATAAGACACGAGTGTCTTGAAGGCTTACTGTAAAAAATAGATTGCTGAAGCTCATATGGAAGATCATTTCAACAAAATGCGTTGCTATGTCTTGCTTTGGGCATTCGAACATTTGTCCTGGAAGAATGCACAGAAACATTTTTCTCAGTTTGCGTTGAAACTTCTCAAAAGCATGACCAAACAGGTCTGGGCTTACCACTACCTCTTGTCATTCTGTTGGGTTGTAGCAGCTCCGGTCTTTCGCTTGTACTAAAGCAGCACGATTGGCTCAATTTCATATTCACAAAAAGTCAAAAGAATAGATTGTTTGCATTCATTGTAGAATGCTGAAACGGCAGCGGCATAGTGTGGCTTGGTTTGTTTTTATTTTATTGTACGCATGTTTGTGTGCGCAAATCTCCTGCTGTTGTTTAAGGTCATATGATTCACCAGATGTTTAGTCTACAATTCTGATACGTCTGTATCTAGTTCTTAAAATGAATATATTAAGCATACCGACACTCAATTGAGATTCCATAGTCTAAAGCACATCTTGTAGAAGCCTTAGTGATTCAGGTAGATACAAAGGCACAATTAACATAAAACAGGACTGCATGTCTGGCAAATTGTAATACTATTTCGTGCTATTTATTCTTACCGTTAGTATAGTATAGCATAGTATAGTATAGTATAGTATAGTATAGTATAGTATAGTATAGTATAGTATAGTATAGTATAGTATAGTTTCGTTTCGGTATAATACAGTACAAACCAAGGGGGTTGAAGATATAAGAACAAGATGTTGTGGCCCTTGGTATGGTCGCAGTCTCCTTTCGATTTATAAAAGTGGGTTGACCTCGTTGTCGCAACTTGGTCTTGTTGTCAGGGCACTTAGTAGAACGTATCTAGTCTGAAGTCGTCTGCCATATCAGTTGTCATGATTCCCAGCATCAGACAGTCCCCTTGGTACATTCACAAACGTTTCGCCGGCATCGTAGTCGGCATCATCAGTCCGTTCTGCCATTCTCCGCACCAAGCAACGAATTCGTCAGAGACAAGTGAAGTTAAATCCTCGACAAACGTTCTGCCGAAAACGATCACTCCTCTTTCTGTCCTGGCCTATCTATACACTCTTTACCCTCTAATCCCACCGCCGCCAAATCACATCTTCTCACTTGTTTACATTCCACTCGTCAAAATGTGTGCCCTTTTGTGGCGAAGCTGGTGTGACCTCATCACAAACACAATTCACCCCGACCCCGAGAAGTTGTGATAAGGCGGCAGTGGGATAAGTGGGTAAAGAGTGTATAGATAGGCCAGGACAGAAAGAGGAGTCAGAGTGTAACCGTTTACGGCAGAACGTTTGTCGAGGGATTGGCTTCACTTGTCTCTTTGACGAGCTCGGCTCGGAGAATGGCAAAACTGACTGATGATGCCAACTACGATGCCGGTGAGACGTTTGAGAATGTACCAAGTCGACTGGCTGATGCTGGGAATCATGACAACTGCTATGGCAGACGATTTCGGTCTAGGTGCGTTCTACCAAGTCGCCCTGACAACAAGGCCAAGTTGCGACAACGAGGTCAACCCACTTTTATCAATCGAAAGGAGACTGCGACCATACCAGAGGCCACAACATCTTGGTCTTCATATCTTCAACCCCCTCGGTTTGTTGGTGAGACAATGAGGCGAGATCGGGACCGCCCATTAGGACGGCATAGCAACGGTCCTTTGACGCCTGATGTCGTGAATTTTTATACCAAATTACAACCAATTCCCACCTTAAGCAGCCTGGGATTTTTGGGGGTTGTTCATTGTTCAGTTTCCCCTTAATGAATGTATTACCAACTCATACGCCCAATTTGCAACCGAATCATGGAACAAGCAGATTGTAAAAGCCTGCATGTAAGCCGTGACTGAACCAATTGTCCTGACCTTACGAGTTTGCAAAATGGCGAAAGCTTCCTCCACATGCATTACTCATTATCTCAAATATTACATTGTCTCAATAATTAAATTGCACTCTGATCTCGTCATGCAGGGTTTTGGCAATGTTAGAGAAATGCTAATTGTAACTTGTTATTTTTTGGACTAACGACAATTCTGGCTACATCAACTGAACGAGAGTGCTTGAATTTGGCATAAAAATCTGCCAACCTTCAGTGCGTCCCAAAATGCGTTATTATCATATCATCGGCACAAGCGGGACTCGAACCGTGGATGTGCGAGTAAAGAGGCAGACACGTGCGAAGCCACATTTTCCTATTCAACATGCATGACTTTCGAGATAAGAACTTAATCGGTCTAGATCGTTCAAGGTGATCTTGGGACAGAAAGTTAAGTTTTCCCACAAAATCGGATGATAAGATCTCAGGATTCAAGTGATTTTCACTTAAAAGTCTCGTAACCTGCTAACACCGGCGATTTCAGGACAAGCATTGACAAGAAGCGTACATTGTGGTGACAAAAATATTAAAAAGCCAAGCCTAAAAAGGAGTAGAAGCAGCAGTCGGAGAAGTAGGAGGAATAAGAAAATGAATAGAATAGGAATAGGGAAGGTAGTTGAGTGCTTGATGGAGAAGAGGAGCAGGTGAAGGAAGGAGAAGAAGAGAAAGTAGAGTAAATGAAGGAGGCGAATAAAGAAGAAAAATTAGGCTTTACAAACTACACATTTCATATATATTAATATTTGCCTTTTAGCCCTCTCATCAAAGGTTCGAGTCCTGCTAGGACTGCCGATGTTATGATGAGACCAGTTGGGGACTGCAATCCGTTCTGGATTGTTGACTATCGTTTGGCATACATGACAATGTGAAACGGACATGAAAAGTCCAAACAATCTCTTTTGTTTGACTTGGGTAGACTGTACACAAAACAGACGCACACTGACAACAATGCGCCTCCAGAGACTATCAAAACTTAAAATCTGGATAAAGTTATATGAGAAGTATTCACCCTATTTCGTTTAAGCTGATAAAGGACTAGTAGAAGAAGAATTTTCCCACAATGATATGAGTTTAGCTGACGTTTCCATTCGATTTCACATAGCCTTGCTTTCCCAAAAGTTGTTCTACTCCCGGTTGGAGTGGACGGCAGTTTCGACCTCGCATCGGTCTTGTAAACACCCTTAGCGGGAGTCGAACCGCAAAAGTGCAAGATGGGAAGGCGAGGCCTTTTTGCCATATCATATTCTTTTGGTGGGATTGTCGATGAAGCAAACGTATATTTGCTACAACAATCGACTACTATACTTTATTTTTCGAATTAAGTATTATTTTCGTGACTACCAGTAAATCA